GAAGAACTCTCTGGATGAGAGTTTCATACGAAGCATGGTACCATCGGAGGTGCTGAGTTCTATCTCCCTCCCCTCAGGCCTCCTGCTCCATTTATTGGGCTCCTCATGCTGCTGGGGCCCTTCTTTGCTGATACCACTCTTATCTTGACAGGAGCCCAGCCAGCCTTTCCCTTCCTTCTCAGGTGGCCAGCCATTCAGGTGAGGAGGTGGGACGGGGAGTGCCAGGCTTCTTATGAAGCACAAAACTCCCATCTCTGTTTTGGAGCAACCAGATATTTTACATCTCTCAATGTAACCAAAAACAAAGGCATATTTAGTGGAATTCCCAGTGTTTAAAAAAGTTAGTTTTTTGTATTAAAACTTTCAGAGTAGTAGGATGACTGTGAGAGTAGTAGTCAAAAATGTAAATTTTCTAATCTCGAAGTTTCTGGTGAAGCATGGAGTTGCAACAAACAAACTGTTGGCTTCATAGATTCCTATGGGTCACTTTCTTGCTTCCTTTCTAACTGCTAGGCTAAATTCTGTGATCATATTTGGTTGGGCATTATTTCATACCTTTGCATTTTTACTGTATATATATAATTTATTGATCAATATAAAGATGCAAAGGTATGAAATAATGCGGAACCAACTATGCCTCAGACAACCAATTGAATATAAACACAGAAATCACCAGAGGGCCACTATAGAACTCAGACTACAGATTTAGAATCAGAAGATAGAAAAAGCTGTATTTTCTCTGCCAAAACAAGTCCAGGAGCAGACTGTGGAATACACCATGAACTACTAATAGCAAAAATTGAAGTAAAGTTGAAGAAGAACAATAAAACATAGTGCCACAGTACAATTTAATTTTTTTCAAATAATTTAAACACTCTCTTTACTAAACTCAATGGACTATAAAACCACAAGAATTGTGGACTAAAACTGGATATATTGTCAGGGAAGAAAGCAAGGTTCTCCAGGAAATTTGCTGGCAGGTCTGAAGCAGACAGCCCACCAGAGACAGCCAGAGTGTCCCGATCAAACAGACACTGAAAGGTTGCATTTTGAATTTTGACCCTATTTTTGTTATTTTTCCTTCTTATCTTCTGCTAATAATTTTAGACATTCATTTAGACTTTTCTTTTGATTGCATAAATATATATTTATATCAGCAGATTTCCTGTAGAACCTGGTGGCAGAAAGTAAAAGTGCAGTCTGAAGATGCAGAAAATAAAAGTGGTGTTCTAGACCAGTGGTTCTTACCCAGGTATTCTTGGACTGCAATTCTGGAGACCGAGGCAAAGATCCCAGAAGCCTTCACCACCAGCTATGCTGAAAGGAAGAAAAGGAGGAGGAGGAAGTAGGTGTGCCACCCTCAATGGATTCAGAGTCGGAGGGTTGAGCTGAGGTTGCAGAACAGCCACCTCTCATCTTCTGTACTCTTGATGAGGACAGGCCATTGCTGCTGCTGCAGGACCTTCTCCAGAGTAAAGATGTGGGGGAAGAGCACTGGTTCTCTTGCAATGGCAGCATGGATGCCAGGTTGAGTCACAACCTGCCAGATACCACACACACCCTGCTGACACAGAAGTGGCATTGATGGGCCCAGTGGTCTCCAACATTTCTATTAATGACATGGATCAGAGGATGCAGGGAATGCTAACCAAATTTGTAGATGACACAAAACTGTGTGGAATATTTAATACCCTGGAAGACAGAAACAAAATGCAAAATTATCTGGATAAACTTGAGCATTGGGCTGAAAAAAAACAGGGATAAGTGCAAAGTACTGCATCCAGGAAAAAGAAACCAAACACACAGTTACAAGATGGGGAATACCTGGCTCAGCAATACAACAAGCAAAAAAGGATCTTGGAATCATCGTAGATAACCAGCTGAATATGGGCCAACAGTATGATGTGACTACAAAAAGGGCAAATGTTGTTTTAGCCTGCATTAACAGAAGTATAGTCTCCAAATCCTACAAGACACTCATACCCCTTTATTTGGCACTAGTTAATCTTCATCTTGAGTACTGTGTCCAGTTCTGGATACTGCACTTCAAGAAGGATGCCGACAAATTGGAACAAGTTCAGAGGAGGGCAATAAGAATGATCAGGGGCTGGAAACCATGCCCTATGAGGAAAGACTGAAAGAACGGGGCATATTTAGCCTTGAGAAAAGAAGACTGAGGTGAGAAAGTGATAGCACTTTTCAAACACTTCAAATAGAATCATCAAGTCCAATCCCCTTGCTCAATGGAGAAATACTTTGATTTGTATTTCAAATACTTGAAAAGTTTTTATTTGGAGGAGGGGCAGGATCTGTTCTCAGTCATTCCAGACACAGAACAATGGGCTCAAGTTAAAAGAAACCAGATTTCAGTTGAGTATCAGGAAAAACTTCCTAACTCTTAGAGCAGTACAATAAATAAATAAATAAATAAATGTTCTCAAGGCTTTCTAGATATAAAGCACTCAGAAGTGGTTGACCAAATAAATAAATGTTCTAAAGTCTTTCTAGATATAAAACACTCAGAAGTGGTTGACCAATTCTCCTCTTCAGGGGGTGCACTGGGACTGTGCAGCTTGCCCAAGGCCACACAGGCTGTCTCATGTCCTGGAAGGGCTCCTGGAAAACTGAACTCCCAAACGCTGTACTCTTCCTCACTCAAGTGTAGAAAGAGTCAGCTAACATTCTGCATGAGCTTAAATCTGAATTTAGGCATCTTTGATCCTAGACTCTGTCCACTTCATTATTCTATGATTCTATGATTCTATAGAAGAAGAAGCACAAGAAGTAGCTATGGCAGATAATCCTGGACCAGGATGAATTGTAGGGGCTTGGGGACTTTCATCAGACCAGATTTATTGGCCCTCCCTAAAGGGTGTCAGTTGGATGAAGTCAGCGCTGTGAATTAGACTCCAGCCCCAGTCTAGAGACACTAGAAACCCAATGAATAGAGCTGGATCTCTACTGAGGACTGTCTGATAGGGGACTAGAGAAGACATCTGAGCCTTCCTATGAATCAATAGAGACAGAGAATTGGAAGGGCACTTATGAGGGAACTGGAAAAGATCTTAAGAGCAGGTATATATACTGGAGACCGAGGCAAAGATCATCTGTACGATGGGGTTCACAATAATTATGTACACACATGGAAGCAGAACAGTGAACAAAGCTGACAGGGGAGAGGATTGATTTATTTGACATGGGGTGTTGGAGGACAATTCTACAGGTAACATGGACTGCCAGAAAGATGGATAAGTGGGCGCTAGATGAAATCAAGCCTGCACTCTCTGTAAAAACAGCAATGACTGCACTGAGGCTATTGTGCTTTGAGGATGTCATGAAAAGACACAACTCACTGGCAAAGACAACAATACTGGAGAAAGGTGACAGCAGCAGGAAAAGAGGAAGAGTGAACATGAGGTGGATTGATTCAACGAAGGAAGCCACAGTCTTGAGTTTTCAAGACCTCTCAAGGCTCTTAATGCTAGGATCCTTGGGAGGGCATTATAATAATCTTAGAACAGCAGAGCTGGATGGGACCCTATGGATCATTGCGTCCGGCTCCTGTCAAGGAGACACAGTGGGAAATGAAACTCCTAACCTCTAGCTCCACACCTAGATACCTAAACCACTGAACTATCCAGCAGTTGATGTCTCACTGCAGCTGCTAGGGGAGCAACAAGTATTTCAAGAGGAGCCCATATGATCTGTTTAAAAACTGCCAATCAAGGTTTTTGCCACTGTATTCTTTACTAACTAAAGATTTTCACCAATTTCACAGGCACCCCAGTTCATCTTATGAATTAATCTTTTTTCCTTCTGGCCAGTGGGTGCTTAGTCCCTTTGCTCTCCCTCTTTCACCCTTACCTCACTGCCATTTATTCCCTTTTGCCTATGGCAACCTCACTTGAGTTCACCAGCAACATCACAATGCTTCATATGATCTGATGTCACTGACACACAGCAACACAGTCAGCAAGGCACAGATATCTTCAGGAATAAATTTAGCTCCAGATATGAGAATACCAAACGAGGTATCAAAATCAGAGTTTGGAAAAATTCCAGTTTTGTTCACGTTGGCTGGGGTGTTCAAAGGGTCCTGGCCTTTGAGAGGTATATTTTCCCCAATTCTGATGAAAATTTGCTAATATTCTAATAATAATCACATGCTGTCAAACCAATTCAGAGTTAGGGTGACTGTTCTAGAGTGGTCGAAATGACCAGATAGGTGTAAAATAAATAAATAAATAAATAAATAAATAAATAAATAAATAAATAAATAAATAAATAAATAAATAAATAAATAAATAAATGTTCTCAAGGCTTTCTAGATATAAAGCACTCAGAAGTGGTTGACCAATTCTCCTCTTCAGGGGGTGCACTGGGACTCAGCAGCTTGCCCAAGGCCACGCAGGCTGTCTCATGTCCTGGAAGGGCTCCTGGAAAACTGAACTCCCAAACGCTGTACTCTTCCTCACTCAAGTGTAGAAAGAGTCAGCTAACATTCTGCATGAGCTTAAATCTGAATTTAGGCATCTTTGATCCTAGACTCTGTCCATGGTACAGCTGTAGCTCCTAAGAACACCACCACGGGAACACTGTCACCATACACAAAGCAGAAATATTCACTTCTCCATCCTGAATCGCACAACCAGGCATCTGAATATGTTCTCGTCAAGCGTATCCTGGGAACTGATCTCCAATATTTTGCAGGTCTGGGAATATAAGACAAAAGCAGTTTTCTGTGTAGTGTCCACCGAGCATCTTCGGAAAAGCAACTTTTCTAAGCAGTCCAGCATTCCCAGAAGTAATCAAGAGGCGGCAGAAGGAGAGCCGAGCTCACATGGTATCTTCCTATTCCAGTCTTTCTCTGCTCGTGCTTTTCTCCCACACCCTCCGCTTCTCGGCTTTCTCTGGCTGCCTGCGTCTTTCTTCACCTAACACTCCCCCTGCAGTTGGCTGCAGAATGGGACACGCTTGTTCCAGAGCCAGCCGGCAGCTGTCACATAGCGGAGGCAGCAAGCAGCCTGAGCAAAGAGTGAGCCTACTCTGTCATTTAGGATGACTCACAGGGAATTGGCATTAATTCCTCTCTTTCTTGTAGTGGACGGAGCGCAACCCCAAAGCTACACTGGACCAGATCAAGGTAAGGCAGAACCACAGCAGCAACAAAATGCATATCTTTCTATTTTGCTTCTCTCTCTCTTTTTAAGCAGCACATCTCTGGAGCTATGAAGAATGGCTCAGAGACTGACACTGGTATTCCCCACCTGGCTTGGCTTACTAGGAACAATTCCTCCCCTGCTTTAGCCTCTGGGATGCTGTTGGAGAGCTCCACATGTATAAGGCTTCATGACAACCGGGAGATCCGAGCAGGAGGTGGCAGGCGCTATTCTTTCTCAAGTGGAACTTTTTTAAATGAAGGCTTTGCTCCCAAGCTTGGACAAAACAGAGAGAGAGAGAGACAGAAGATGCTTAACATTCCTAAACTCTCATCTCATGAAGTGCCACGGGGTCCAATTTTAGGGAATATGGCAGACCAGGGATCTATTCTCAGCGCAGCTGTGCAGCTTTGATGACTTAGGATTTCACTGAGCTTAGATTCCAGAGTTGAAAGAGGCACTTTGCTCTGTGCGATCCCCCCCCGCCCTACACCCCCATGTGTGAGTGTGTGTCTACGTATATATCTATATCCCTGGCAATCCAGAGCCTCCTGGGCGCAAATGGATCTCTGTAATTTATGCATACCACTTTCAAGGCTGCAGGCATCTGAAAAAGCCCAGGGAAGCACAACCATCTCTGCTCTACCTTGTTGGTACTGCTAAAACCCCTGGCACTGTGTTTTTAAAGAAAGAAAATACACACACATGCAGTCAAGAGCATTTAAGATTGGGAGGAGGGGATCATTCCTGGTTGTTCTTAGCAGTAGGGAACCATTTTATGTTTTTGGATGTATTTCTTTTCTTCTCTTAGAATCTGGTTTCTGCTGCTAATGCTGACAGGTTGCACTGTATTTTATTTTTGATTTCCAACTGATAACTTGTTACTGCTTCTTCACTCTCTCTTCTTGAGTGAATCCTCTAGCAACTAGCCAAAAATATTTAAACAATTGTTACTGTGATATAATCCTTTCCTGAATTGTGTTGAATGCATGAAGAGGACCCATGCTCATTTTTGCTTGTTTGGACCAAAAGTACTGGTTACTGTAATATAATCCTTTCCTGAATTGTGTTGAATGCATGAAGACAAGCAGGTAGCACAGTCTTGAGGACCAATGCTCATTTTTGCTTGTTTTGGACCAAAAGTACTGAATAAGTTTCTCAGACTCTAATCATAATGTGTTCCATGCCCTTCCCCCCCCCTCTTTTAGCAAGTGTTTATTTGATATGCCATAAACAAAACCGGTTTGCAGTTTGATCTTTATTCGGTTTGGTCCCCCTGAGCCTGTTATGTATTGGAAATACAGTACTTCATAATCAGTGGAGGACTTACAAGCAATTAAATCTATTGGGCAGCAGCCTGCTTTTGCAATATTGAATGGTGTAGGGGTATGCAGAGACTGGCTGTGGTTTATTATGGTGATTGTTTCCACTCTTCTACGTGAATCGGTACAAAGGAGCTTTCTGACTAGTTAATAAACCTGCTGATTGTTGCTATACTGAGTGCCTTTCGTAAATGAACAGTTGTCTCCTCCACTGGGGTAAAGATGTCAGTAACACATCCTCCAGTGTCCAGAGACACCGCAGCACACATTGAGACTGCTAGGTCCTGAAGGAAATCCTTGATATTGCCGTTGCAAGGCATGTGCATATGTGTTATGTTTTATTGCTTCAGTGGTGTTTTAATATCTTCTAGTGATCTATTGCTGGGCAGTGCTCTGAAGGCTTTTCGAATTGTACAGATGTCTTATTGCTTTAAGTAAATTTATTTTAAAGTACAGTATTCAGATGCAATGCTCACATGGTTTCATAACCTCAGGGTGGGTAATAGATTAAATCGTATATATCTCTAAATGGACATTTTAAAGATAGATTCGGAATATCTCAAACTCAAGGGTAACTAGCCTAGTTCTAGCCACCAGAAATAGTCTTGACTTGGGCAGGGGGCGTTCTATAGAATTTCCAAAAGGTGGCATATACTGGGCTTTCATGGGGAAGAGAGTTCCATAACTGGTGGGTAGCCATAACAAACACCCATATGCTAAATCAACATACAGATCGCTTTACTAATAGTGCTTTCTTTGCTGACTACTAGAATTTAAATGGGACAGAGAAGAGGAGCCACTATCTTCAGGATGAGATCTCCAGGTCTCTAAGGGGTTTAGAATTCAAAACCTGGCACTGGATTGTGCCATGAGGCCTTGGGAAACCCAAGCTGTCTCTGGTGGTATCTTATGGTCTAACAAATATCCTTGGCAGGCCAAAGACCTCCGTGATAACCAAGGCTTTTGCAAAAGTCTTCAAGAAGAACCCCAGAGAAAGTGGAGTACAGTAGTCTAGTCTCAAGGTTACCAAGATTATGCTTGAGAAAAAGGCGCACAGCATCCTCATAAAATGTCTTAGTGAAAGACCGTTGGCCTGGCCCCTGAAAAAGCCTCGTATCCAGGATTACTCCAAGGTTGTTTACTCAGAGTTTGGAAGCAACGGGACACAAATAACATAGTTGTCGCCTTCCGTTTGGGATGATGACATTTGAAAAGGAGTGCAATGGGTGGGAACAAAACCAAGAGGGATGGGGTTACAGTCCATGAAGTTAACTAGCTGATTTTAAAGTTAATTTTAAAATGACATTTTAAGGCATTTTAGAGTTGTTTTAAAGTAACAAGAAAGTAACAAGTATTGCAACCTGTTCACTTTTACAGCAATTGAAATGATAATGGTAACATATTATTGGGGGGAGGGGAATTCTGCAATGAGTTGTTTTGACTTATATTCCACCTCATCGTTCCTAGAGTACTCTTTGGGCAGTTTACAACATAATTATGGAAACAAACCTTTGCCCCCCCAAACCAGATGGGTACTCAATTTACCAACCTCGGAAAGGCAAAGTCAGCTTTGAGCCAGCTACCTGAATCCCTGGGATCAAACACACAGCTTGTGTGCAGAGTCTTGACTGCAGTACTGCAGTTTAGCCACTGCACCATAGGATTCTTGTATATGTAAGTATTTGAAGTAAACCATATGTGAGACATGGGCTACACCATGAACCAATGTCACATCTGCCCCCTTTCCTTTGTAACAGGAAGGGTCATTTATCCTGCACTGTGATTTCATCTCTTTGCACATCCTTGTTGGTAGTCGGGGCACCCAGGAGAAATGGAAAACACACAATGTGTAGACATAACAATACAGGGTAAGCGATCCTATATAAGAAAGGAAGATCTGGATCATATGAAGAGTTGGGCTCCAGCAAAGATCCAGCTTCTTCCCTCTCAGAGTTTTAGGAAAGGACCTGCCAAATGTTGCCTTAGGCTGCACTCCTCACTCACTTACGTAATTTAACTACAAAAGAGCTCACAGCAGCTTAGGCAGGACTTCAGGCCAGTCTCCTATCCAGGCAGTGACCAGAAGGAAGAAACCCTTGTAGCTTTAACAGTGTAAACACATTGGTTGTTCTTTTTTGGTTTTGTTTTGTTTGTGTTTTTTGGATTTTGCCTGATATATTTTCTGGATTTCACTTTCCTCTCCTGCATTCCCACCTTCACGCCTCCTTGGTATAATGTGGCATGGTATAATGTTTGGTTCCGAGCTGTCTTTTATCATTTAGGATATTCCTTTGATAAATGTCACTTGTGCCGCTGATTGTCATCACCATTTTCCCTATTCAGTAAGGTGAATAGGAAATGTGTATGGAGACAGTTGTTCAGCTCCCTTCCCATGAAAAATTAGTTTGCTGATGGATAACTCTGAAACCTGCTAATATTCTAGGCAGTTTGGGGGTGCTTGCGTCTTTCCACCACAGAAACAAAGGGAGGGAAGGAACCATTTATTGCCTGTAAGAACTTAGGCACCTTCTTCAATTCAGTCTTGAATGAGTCTTTACCGTAAATGACAATGTCAGTTCCTGTCTGCCATGAATATAGTGTGCAAAAACCGTTCATAAAGGAGCTTGATGTTTATCAATCCACTATCAGCTATTTTCCCCATGGTTCTTTTTAGCTGAAAAAAACAGAGTCTATTGAAATGTAGACGACTCAATGCGATAACATTTCATTTGTAACTTGGCAACCAAGGAAGAGAAGGAAAAAAAATCATGTTGCAATAAAATATCACCAATGCAATCCTAGGATTGAGTGGCCCTGTTCCCAGAGAGATGATCTCTAGAAAAAGAAATCATTGTAAGGTTGCAGTTCTAATCCAAGCTCTCCTGTACTTAGTTGAACTGAGTAGCTGTGTACATGATTGCTTTGCTGATCTGCAAGATGGTGGATCTGCAAGGAAGGTCTGCAAGATGGTGAATGGTGGATCACAAAGGAACACAACTAGCCATTTCTTCTAAAGAGCCTAGTCAGAGACTGCATAGCAGATGAAGCCTTTGGTGCTACTGAATTGAAAGATTCCTTTTTCACATTGATGATTGACTTATTTGTTTTCTCCAGTGCCGTCAAATCTTATTTGATAATATGAAATGAAAAATACTTCAAAAAAAGGTGTTTGCTGAAATGATGGGCTCCATTACATTTCCCCTTGTTGAGAAGTCAGCCATTTTTCGTCCATTTTGTCCCCATTTATCTTGGTATATAATTTTAAAGTGGCAGATGGAGAAAGAGCAGCAGTAAAATTGGAAAAACAGAACAAAGGAAGTTTTAAATGTCCAAGAAAAGAAAAAAGAAAAAGAAGCATTTTCTCTTGTTTAACTCTGGAATTAATATACAGTGGTGCCTCGCAAGATGATGTCAATTTGTTCCATGAAAAACACTATCTTGTGAAAACATTGTCTTGCGAAACGCGGTTCCCCATTGGAATGCATTGAAATCTATTTAATGCGTTCCAATGGAAAAATCGTCGTCTTGTGAAAATCGTCCATAGAAAACATCATCTTGCAAAGTGCAACAGTGATCGCAAAAGCCAATCGTCTTGTGGATTAATTGTCCCGCAAGGCAATCGTCTTGCGAGGCACCACTGTAGTATTTAGCACCATGTACAA